AAATCGTACTGTTAAAAAAAATTAAAAATTGATGAACAAACTGTATATATTGTATATTCTTTTAATATTATTGAGAAATACATCGAAAAATTGTGTTGGAAGAATACAATTATGGTTGTTGAACTATATTGTTATTTTTAAAAAAAATAATACTCCCTCCATCTTTTATCAATCTATCTATTTTTTTCATTTTAGTCCAGTCTTATAATAAAATATTTATTTTTTTAGTAAGTGTTCTATCTACCTAATATTACAAATATCCTTCCAATTTACAATATATTACACAAATATCATTACATTTATATTATACCATACTAACTAATAAGGTTAGTTTAGTCTTTTTATTTTTATTTATACTACATTCCTATATAATATTAATATTTCTAAAACTCCATACAATAAATAAATAAATATATAAATATAGGAGGGAGGGAGTATGATATTTCCGTAAAATTAATACACGGGTTACCAGAATTCAAAATGCAATTTTTTTTTTTTTTTTTTGCAATATGTAACCCTTAATCCTTTGAGTTATGCTCATGGCCACCCATTAATCATTGAGTGTATATATAGCAAATTCTTGAAATAATATGAACAAAATTTATTATAAGAGACTTAAGTACAAATAGTTTTAAAAGCTATATCATTAAATAATGAGATCATGGCACATAATTATAAAAGAAAAAAAAAAATCATATTGTCACAGATTATTAGGTTCGATCGAAAGTTTATCCAGAATGCATACAAAAAAAAAAGAAAAAGAAAACATCATATTGTTGTTTCTACAGGCTCTCTTGCATTTTCACACAATTCATTAGTTTAAAAGAACAATTCATTCTTAAGTTGGACCGGAGGTTTATTCAGTGCGCACTTTCGGTAGCGGTTGCGGGTTCTCACATTATAAAGAAAAAAAAAAAAAAAAAAGAACAATTAATTCAGTTAATTGGTTATTATTTATTAGAAATTTGAATCTATTATTTTGTGTCTACGATTGTGGTTATAAAAATTTAATTAATTCTTTTGTAATAAGCCAAATCCTCTTTCCGGTCGTATAATTTAGGGACCTTTTCTTTGTAAATTTAGAAAGGAACCGTCCCTAAATTTGACAGATAGAGGGAATATAATTTAACTAAAAACACTATATAGTAAAAGCATCGAATACAATAATAAAATTCTTCCATTCTTGTGTTTTATAGCCCGATCTAGTGCTATTTTGTAGTACCATCTTTGCTATCGTCCAATTATTTTTTATTTTTTTTCGGATATAAAATTAATTATTCCCCAAAAGTGTATAACGATATTATAAAATTAGCTTTATTTATTATTGACCATAAAGATATGCTAATAATGATATTTGACGATTGTTGTTTAATCAGTGTTGTGTTAACACGTCAACAATTTATCTCTTCGTATTATTAGCTTATTAGAAACGTCATAAGACACAATTTAAATCATATAAATAACATGTTGTAATAATTGAAATCAGATCTTGCATCTCAATCTAAATTTATAATTTTATCTTTTTATTCTTGTATGTTTACTTTTTCATACTTTTGTTTTCGACCTGTATTTTTTTACTATCAAATATTTGGGCATGACATTTGATATGAATTTAAAATTTAATTACTTTAAATCTTCTAGAAAAAACTAATATAAAATTATTTGATTATCATTCGATTAGAAACTTTCAACCTATGATAACATATAGCAAATAGAGGTATATTTCCAATAAGTTCCGCAAATCTAACACACAATGAGATTCATGTAGAGGCAAAAAACATTCGAGGCAACTTGGGGGAGGCCTTGACATAGCCAAGCTCTTTTCTCCGATCCATCTATCTTTCTTTGCTCTCATGTGGCGGAGCCAGAAAATTTTTTGGACGGAGCCAAAAAAATTTTTATATAAATAATATATAATAATTTTAAAATTATATAATATAATAAAAAAAATTGAAAAATTACAAACAAATTTTTAGTTTGTCTTATCCGATTTCTTTCAAATATTTCTAAATATTTGAAATATTTGAACCAATTTTTTTAAATATTTGAGTTAAATATAAATAATACTAATATTATTATTAAATCTGTAGAGGTAGCTAATTATTTAAATTTTAAAAATAGTGCAAATTATATATATAATTAAAATAAAAAACTTAATTAATCAGGGGCGAACATCCTTCAGCCTCCTGCTCATGTCTTCTCTCTTCACAAGTACATCACTCCCAATCCAATCGATCGCTCTCCATTAAAGACGGAAGAATCTCCCAACATAGATCAAACTCTCGATTTTGTTGTAAATGTGATTCGAACCAACTCGATTGTACATATATAGCGATATTGATTAGGGTTTAGATTAGACTTTATATTTCATTTGTTGCATGTGTACAAAGAAATTGGGGAGGAATAGAAGCACAAAAAATTGTGAAAGGAGAAACACACAAAAAAAAAATTGGAGAAGAAGAACAAAAATTTGGGGGAAGAATGAGAAGTTGGACAAAAAATTGGAACTATTTGCTGTAACATTGAGAATTTTTTAAGAAATATGAATGGATATAGGGTGTGTTTGTTTTTTTATTTCTAGTAAAAAATATTACTCTCCATGTGCGTCTCTGAGGTCACATTTATCTTTTGCGTCATTGTATTTAATATTAAAAATAGTCTTATATTTGTATAATTTTTTGTACAAATGTCCTTCTATTAGTATTATAAGACACTCATGAAAGTATTTTTGTAATTTTTTTCTTAATTTGTACTACGTTTTGATATAATAATTAATATTCAAATATTAGCATGCAAAAAATAAATGAGACCCTTAGAACCAGACATAGATAGTATTATCTAATTTATATAATTTTAAATAAAAATATACAATATTTTATAAAATATTAAATTAAAATATAATTTAAATAACTCTCAATTTCAAGTCGACTCCATTCGTCCACACACAAAGTAAACATTTACTTTTGGCGCGGTGTTTAAAAAATAATAGTATTTTAATTATAGTGGGTAGTTAAAAGTAGTAAAATGATATTTTTGCTCTTACTTTTTGGTGTAAAAGTAATGATGTGATGTAAAGTAAGGGTATTTGTGAAAAAAAATGAGGTATTTAATGAAATATTTAATTTGTAATGGGACGTTTCAAAATAAAAATATGTATACTTTCTAAGTCGTCGGAGGGAATACGATATAAATTAAAAAATAAAATCAATAGTTTGGACAATAATGAAGTGATGATGATAGTGATGGGACTGAGGAATACCTAAAATTTTCTGAAAAACATATGTATAGTAATAATGGACCCTACAAAGAAAAACAGTAATAAACACCTTTTCAAAACTCCCCAAACTTTGATGACTCCCTTTTCAAAAATTAACACACGCTTGTGTTTACTTATACATACAATTTTTTTTTTTTATATTATTATTATTATTATTATTTCATTAAAATATAAATATTAAAAAACTAAATTATGTTATTAATATAAACAAAAAAAATTGCAAAATTGTGCTAAGGCAATGGTGGTAGAAACTGTTTCTGAATTTTAAAATATACGTTCAAAATTTTTTGGGTCGTGTCTGATCGATCCAATTTTAAAAATTAATATTTTAATTTTATTAAACTTATATATATATATTAATTTTTAAAATAAAAATTAAAAATTAAAAATGATTTGATAGTAAAATTGTTGACTTATATATATATATATTTGATTTTTAACATGGTATAAAAGTTCAACCACATATTCCCTCACAACATTAATGGCAAATTGCAAGAGAGGGATTTTTGTCACATAATTTGTAGCCAAATTACAACCTCTATATATTTGTCTAAATATGGTAAATTAGAGCTATCTGTTATGTTACAGTGCTAGAGTTATCAAAATTTATTACTTCTATAAAAAAAAATTAGTTGTCTTCAATAAAAATAAAAAAGAAAAATTAAATATTATCCAAAAGAAATTTAAATTATAAATTTAACATAAATTATTTATAAATATATTTAAAATTTATTAATTAATTCTCTCTTTTTATCTATTATATTTTAAAATTATTTGTTGGTTTTCTACTTTTCATATTTAATTCATCGAAATGCCTAATAAAAATAATGATCATTTCAATCATATTTTAAATCAATTTGTTGGAAATAAAAATTTCTTCAGACAATGGATTAAACCAAACTTCTTTCGATAATCCAAATTGTTAAATATCACTCTTAAGTTATATTGTTAATATATTTATTTTATACTTTTATATTATAGTATGATTCTTTTTTCTATTTCTAATTAATATATATGTTGATTTATTTAGAATAATTTCAATTTATATAGGTTAAAAGTTAAAATATAATATTATATAAAAATATTATTAGATAATAAAAATATGTAGAAATATGAATAAATAAATAAATTATTTATATATTGTTTATATATATATTATTATATAATAAAAATATATAGAAAATAAATAAATTATTGTGAATTTATAAAATATTAAAGGTAATGAATCGAAGCAATTTATTATAATGGGTGAAATAAATAAAATGATTTGAATATTAAAATATATATGATGTGGATGTGATATATAAAAATAATAATAGAGCAGAGGTAATGACTATAACCTACCCGGACGGATCTATTACAAGGAGATATCTTTTTCCACTTCCACCTATGCGCCACATCAGCCATAATTAAAAAAAAAATCAAAGATGTCCAAGAAATTTCTCTTTTTTTATTTATTTATATATTTATTATAATTATTTTTTTATTACATAAAAATTTTATTGTCTCTGATAATGTATATATTGATATATTTTATAAAAAAATTAATTTTAATATAAATATAAATATATATGTAATTTTTTTATTGAAATGGAAGAAAAAGTAGAAGATAAATTAGAAGTATAGAAATACTTTGGATGAGTATGTTAATTGCGGGAAGTCTAAAGGGTGTGTTTTTTTAACTCCCTCATTCAACATTCAACTAAACTAATCATTCTTGAGCAAAAGTAAGCAAACACTGATTTAATTATTATCAGGAAGAATCACAATTTTTATATATGGACACACATACAGACAGGCATTCTTGACTACTGTTCGAACCTTAAAACAATCACTTAACTGTTTACACCTTCCCGTTCACCTCATTCGATTTTACCAGCCCTATTTCTTCTTCCATCTTGCTGCTAAACTGCTGTGGAATTCGTTCTTTACCGCCCGGTTGAGACGAAGCATGGCCATACCAAATCATTCCAAGAATTGCAACAATCATGCCAATGACTACATGAAGGTTAAGTCCTTCTTTACCAAAGAAGACAAATCCTAATATCAAGACAAGAATGGTCTTCATGTGGCCGAGCACTTGGAACGAAACTGCTGTGAATCTTCCTATGCAGATGAACTGGCTTAGATTGGTTCCAATAGCAATGGCACAAGACAACACAATAAACATCTGCAAAGATAGATAAATTTACAGTTGAAGAACAAAGAAACATATCAGACACAAAAAAAGGAATAAAGATTTTGAGCAGGCAGGGTGAATCAATAAATGTTCAAACAAATGTGTAAATTATATGTATTCTTATATTTCACAAGTTTGAAATCTAGCCATATTGTAGATTGAGCATCTAACACACTAACCAGTGATGCATATGTAAATGGATAATAGTCAACCCTCTTATCTGTCAACCAGTAATCCAAAAAGGGCCCAACTAACAGCAGCGACGCAGCCTGGGGTGGTGCAGTGTGCCCCAATAAGTCGAAAGAACCAATTGAATGCTTCTTCTGAAGATGATGAACATACTGCAAAAGCAAAAGGAATATGTGAGAACTAAATCATACATTTCTGCCAAGCATGGAAAGAAGGAAACACCATTTTTTTTTTTTTATTCATTCTACCATATGATCCTAGCTGATCAATGATTGGAAAGATTCGGCCCAAAAAGAAAACACTTTTCAAAATAGAAGCTGGAAGAGTTTCCTGATTTCCTTTTAATACATAACACTTTGCCTGTATTCATACATGAAACAGATTTCCCAACATCATTTAAACTCTGTTTTTCGAAAACTAGGGATATAAGAGCAAAAGAATCTCTTAACATGAAAGCACATGTTTTACCTTTTTAAATACAAACAATTCATTTGTTTCTAAGTATTACTATTTGAAAACATTCCAACAACAGTTCTTTCCAAATATTAAGTTTTGATTCTGCTTTTTCTTGTAACTAGAAGCTTTTACAAATACTGGTTAAGTTAGAGAATCAAAGCTTACATATTGCTGTAGAGATGTGCTCCAAACTGCTACGAAAGCAGCAAGAAAACCTTTGCCATTAACACTCACATCGGTGACTGTACAGATTGCAACGCCCAACAGAACAACTAGAATGCTTAGCTTGGTGTCCCTTGAATACCGGACACTGTCCAAAACAACTTCAAGAAAACATGACACAGGGATCATGCTCAGCTTCACAATCTGATCATAAATACAGAACCATCATACATTTAGAAATATGCGATTTGCTTCAGTTAGATAGAATAGAAAGGGAATTAATGGAATTGACCTGATAGAATCCCACTGAATTCCACATCAAGCTAACATTCATTCCAACAATAGAAAAATTTGCAAACAAAACAAACTTGATAAGGTCTGACACCGGAAGCGTAGAACTCTGGATATATCCAAGCCATTTTAGTATATAAGTCATTGCTGTAGTGGCAGTAAAGTGTAGGCCAGTTAAAGTTGTAGCTGTAGATGAAAAAGAGTCAGGAGTGAAATTTGGAAATATACAGTGTAAACAATACAATAAAAATGTTTAAAGAGGATAATAAAAGCAGTGGTTTCATAGAATCAACAAAGTCTTATATCCATATTACTCATTGCACAAAATATTTTCCCTGAAGAAGTGATGTCATTTTTCAGATTCTAAGTTTTATGTCAAGATTGTGCTATCTTAAGTTAATCTGACATCATAGGTGAAGTTAAAGTCACTAAATTTTAACCTATTGCAACCAGATTCTTGTGGGACTACATTAGAAATCGACACTTTTCATGTGATTAAAAATATTCTTTTGCATTTTTTATGTTTTATTTTTTATTTTGAATAAAATTCTTGCTCAATAAGATCTAAAAATGCTGATAAACAGTAAACCTAAAAGAAGAAGGAAACAAAAACCTCAAATCAAATTGAACAACTGTTTTATAATTTGGAAAACCTCAAACAGAGTATAGTGATTCATAACAGCAATGCAACTGGGAAGAGGTATTCAAGCAGGTTGGTCGTGAAAATGGATAACAAAGATGAGAATGTTTGTAAAATAACAGTCGAAATGGATTGTCTTACTGAACTTACATACCAAAAGTGAATCCATATGACGCCATTAATGCTTTGTTGGCTAAAATAATTCCGACAGAAGTAACAATATTGAATATCCATGCTGCTGTGTCAAGCACAGCCTTATTGTCATACTTGATAATCAGAGGCATATTTTTCTGCTGCTTGAAGAAATCAAAAGAAATGCAAATACATTAGTCTCAAGATTTGGAGAATCAATATAACAATACCATTTTGACTACCCCAAGAACAAAACATAGCAGAATCATGAAAGAGGAAAAATAACAAAGACTAATCGAATATCATCTGCACGTCTGTAACTACACAAAACTTAGATTTCATCAACACAAATTCAATACTTTCCAAGACATCATCTTCACTAACTTCTTTCCTGATTTTCATTCTCCAACAGCTCACAAAATTCAATTCCAGTATCACCAAATGCAAGAGGCAAACAAAGATGGACCTCCTCAGCAATTAAATGAGTTATTAACAGAAGGAGAAAAAGTTCGGCATGGTTTTGTTCTTTATCAAAAGTATCTGTCATGCCATCCATTCTATCCTCAACATGTACACATGATCAAAGGTTTTGACAATTCATGTGAATCACAAACCATTAAGCATGTGAAAATGAATTGGGAAGGGATAATTAGTGTGACAATACAGATCAGGAAACATGATAAGGCAGAGAGAGTATGCAGAATCCAAATGTCACCTCACCTCACACCACATAACGAAGCATAAAGCATTCATTCGTGCCATTTCCCCTTCACCCGTCCAAATAAACCCGAAACAAATAAAGTAAACAAAACTTCCTTTTTCCAACAGTTACACAACATGTGACACATTCAACCTTGCTGGAGAAGGAAAGTGGAGTAACAGAATATACGCAATTTGCCCCAATTATTTAAGATCACTAAATCCAGAAATCATCCAACATAGAGGCAGGAACAGCAGAACAGATATGTGACCACAAACACAGAATTGAATTTCAATTGGCATAAACAGCCCCAACATGAAACGAAAATGAAAACGCCCAAATCAATTGACGAACACAGAGGAAGAACATATATATACGTACCGGTGCAAAAGGGGGCCGTAGGAAGGAGTTAACTAATGGCGGGTGGTGGGAGGAGTAGGAATCCGGGATGGGGAAGGGGGAGGTAAAGCTGCGAGGAAACGTGGAAGTGTGTAGTACTCAGCAGTCGGTGAGTCAAGTAAGTCGGAGTGTAAAGATGGAGATCAATGGAGGGAGGGATTTGTGCAGTTACTGTTAGTTGTATGGACGTCTTCGTCTTCAGCTTCATCTTCATCCATCCATCATCTTCATGTGATCTTCAACTCAACTGGTTTGGTTTTGTTGCCTCCAAGAAATTTTTGAATATCACATCTTAATTCTCTAAATCATTCCTCATAGACAGGCCGTGTTTACCAGTAAATGGGTTTGTTTAAGTTCTATAATACTCCATCAATCCTGACTACATAACAAGTAATTTTATAAATATTAATATTATATTCAAATATAAGTACGAATAATAAACGTAACGAGATTTGTATAATATAGTGTAAGTTGTAAGACTATTTGTAATATTAGATGAATAGTATTTACTGAAAAAAAAAAAATAGATACTTCGTAATGGGACGGATTAAAATAAAAAAATAGATACTTCTTATAGGACGGAGAGAGTAAATATTTAATGATGATATTTAATTACTTAATAATACTAAATAGATACTACCTTCGTCCGGCTATATAAAAATATTTTTAATATCAAGGGCGTGTTTGGCAATTAGCTGATAGCTGTTAGCCGATTCAATTAGCTGATTGTATTAAAATGTCTGGTAAAACAACTATTTGATATTAACTATTTATATGTAAAATGACAATTTATGATATTTCTATTTTAATTTTTTCTAATATATTCAATTGTGTTCTTTTGAGTCTAGAATATTTGGGGTGCATTTGACAATTAGCTGGTTTGACTAGCTGATTCAATTAGCTGTTTGTATTAAAGTGTTTGGTAAAACAACTGTTTGACATTAACTGTTTATACATAAAACGACTATTAAGGACATTGATATGTTATTTTTTAAAATATTTATTATGAGAATTTTTGTTATTAATTTTTGAAAATTATAAAAATATTAAAAAATATTTATATTTATTTTTATTTTTATTATTTAGATATGAGAAAATTATTTTTACTAAAAAATAATAATTTTTAATTGAAATTATGTAAAATATAAAATAATAAATCTTTCTTGTATATATATATTTTTATTATGTTAATTATTATATATATATAAATAAATTAATAACCTTTATTTTTTCTATTTGTTTTAGTTTTAAAAATTTATATATTTTACAAATAAAATAATTTATATCTAATAATTAATAATAGTAATTATTTTAAATTTACAAAAATAAAATTATAATTTAATAAATTAAATATATTAAAAATAATTCATAAATACTGCAATAAAAATATATTTATATGTAAAAAATAAATAATCAGGTTTTAAGGGTAAATAAGGAATAACCAAAATTAAAATTAAAAAGCTCTTTAAAAACGTTGGGTAGATGAGCTTTTCAGAAATTAGTTTTTTTGTCTAAAAAGCTCGTTCAAAAAGCTAATTTACCAAACACCTAAATTAGCTTTTTAACTGGTCAAACAGCTTAAAGCTGTTCAATAAGCTAAAAGCTGTTCAAAATGCTGTTTCCCAAACACCCTCTTGAAATTTTTTGTTATTAGTTATTGAAAATTGTAAAAGTGTTATAAAATATTATTTATTTTTGTTACAGTTAAATTTTAAAAATAATATATTTTTATTAAAAAATATAAATAATTTTTCTATTGAAAATAATATAAAATATAATATAATAATTTATATATATATTTATTATGTTAATTATCAATTAGTTCATCATATTTATAATTTACAATAAATTTAATTTATTTAATTTTTTAGTATAAAATTTATATAATGTAATTTTAATATAAAAATAAATTATTAATATTTATATTTTCTAATTTTTGTTGATTTTATTAAATTTGTATATTTTACAATTAAAAAATAATTTATATATAAAAATTATTTATTTTAAATTTGTAAAAGTAAAACTATAATATAATAACATATTCTAATATAATTAATAAATAATCAAAATATATTTATTTATGTAAAATGCATAATAAACTTTTAAGAGCAAATAAGGAATAAAAAAAATTTATTTCAAAACGCTGGGTAAGTTAACTTTTTAGAAATTAGCTTTTTGGGTCCAAAAAGCTATTCCACCTTTTCCAACACGAAATATCTTTTCCATCTTCTCAACCCAGAACTCAAGAACTCTAGGCTCTACAGAATCAGAATATGTTGGCGGGTTATGCCGCATCACAGCATCAATAAAACTCCTCTGTTGAGGCATCATCGCAGTTTATGGTTGTCTGGAAAAAATCTGGACTATGTGTCTTTATTGGTACATACTTTAGCACAAGATACTGTGACTCAATAGACAAAAGATCTATCTCTGGGCAACGAATAGCCCTACATAAACCATTACCTCGAGAATTCGACATACTGCCACCAACTTCCCTGATTTAATATCAACTCAACAACACAACTAAACCAGGTATTACATTAAAGCATAAACCACATTAACATGAATGCACCCACAAAACCCAAACTTCGCCAAACCAATTCAATATCATCATTATTTTCAAAATCTTTTTAATCCAAAGAGCCAAAATCTACCAAATCTACGCTCTGATACCAACTTGTAACACCTCCAGTTGGCTCATACTGGAAATGCTACCGCCACACTGCATCATGAGGTCGTCACCTCATACTTCGGGCCCCACAATATATTGTTAAGGCTAAAATTAACCATAAAAGCGTATTATTATATAACAAAATCAGATTTATGAATATTTACAAAACACACTCCTTAACAAGAGGTTTTTTCGGTTAAAACTTTACATATAATACAATAGAGGTAAGTTCACTCACTCAGCCCGTCTTTCTATATCCCGAGACGTCCCCTGTCTCGGATGTGCTATGCATACCTGAAACAAATATTTTTCTTAAAAGCAGTTTAGAATTAAATCCATTTTAAGAACTAACGTGAAATATGCCATGTTATACCTTTAAAAATAAAGTCTAATTCCCGTCAATCATAAACTACATGTCATGTCATGCCAATAGTGAAATGATGCAAAAAAGATATTAAACTCGACAACAATGCATACACATATATATATACATCCGCCGAAGTGAGTAGCCGGAATAACCTCGGCTCCATAATAATAGGCTCACTGCATCTGTCTAAGTGAGCAGCCGGAAAACCCTCAACCCCGCAATAACAAGCTCACTAGACCATCATCAATAAATAGCCGGAAAATTCTCGGCTCAAGGAAGGACCTGATAAACCCATAATAATATAACGGTCATCCGGTCACTTTCATATAACCACCATACGACTCCCACAATCAATACATGGATAGCCGAACGTTGTCGCCATTAACCACAAGACCCCAACAGTCTGTGATTGCGAACATAAGACCCCCACTGACTAGCCCTATCCCGTGTAATGTAGTAGAATCCGTGCAACCTGAATCACCCAAGGAAAACCCGGAAACTCTACTCCCCCTCGCGCGCCCTAACGGGATCACGTTTGGAGTTTGGCATATGATCCTAAACTACTGGTAGACCTCACTAGTGATCAGTCCAATGAGTGGAACAACACCGAACACGAATGATTAGACCAAATACGTCTCAACTACAATGGGTCTAATCCCTGAATGACCATGCGACTAAGTCACCCAATTTTCTGACTACTATCTTCCACTATCGCCAAAGTGTTACGGTACATCGGGGTCGAATATCCTAACCTCAGATGATGCCCTTGCCTAGCACTACCGCACACGACGACTAAATGATAGATCCATAAAACATACCCGATAAACCGTGCAATATGTGCAGCATGTCAAATAAGTGAGTTTACCGAAAGGGGCTGGTGAGACAGCTCACCTATCCTCCTTTTCATAAATTCACCTATGCGATCAAATACGTATATCAAATATCATGAACCGTGAAGTCTCCCACATGCATATGCACCCATATATATAAATATATATATGCACTGACAAAATGATTCACATAATATCACATTAACATATTAATCAGAATCGCATGCAACATGCATACCTAATTTCTTAAAATTAGATTTAATTCCTTACTACTTACCTCTTATCAACACTCCTTAACTTTTGCAATCTCACACGAATCTCCTCCAACGTACACCTGCCCCATTATTTACTCAAATCAGCTGAGCTATAGGTTTATTCATAGGAGCTACATGCTTATTCAAAAGCTAATTTCTAAATTAGCTCGTTGGGTTTCAAACTTTTATATTTAGCAGAATACGATATTCTAGCTATAAAACTCTTATACTTCATAATATTTATATTGTCCGATTATTAAATAAAAATACTTAAAGATATGAATAAACAGATAGGTCCAGTAACTGCCGTTTTCAATTAGAATCAGATCGATACGAAATTCTCAGAATATAATGCTAGGACTACAAATAGGCTATTAGCTAAAGAAATTCGTCGATTAGATAGCCAAATAGCCAGTTATGAATTTTTTAAGAACTTCTAATTTAATATCTTCAATTTCTAAATTCATATTAAAATCCATAATTAAATTCTACGTATAATAAAGAATACAATACCGAAGTCAGAATCAAAATCGAACAGCTAAATCTTTTTCTTTCTTCATTTCTTTTTCTTCGTCTTTCTTCTTCTCTGCCTTCTTCTGCGCGTTCTCTTTCTCTTTCCTTCGTAGATAAGATTGTATTTACATTTATAATTAAATTATTATAATAATAATTATTATTATTATTATTATTAGTAACATTATTATTATTATCATCCTTATCTTTATATTTTATTATATATATTATATATTATATGTTATATTTTATATTTATTATTATCGATATTTATCTGTTTAACAGTCTTTTTAATCATAATCAATATATAGAATAGGAATAAAATTTATTCCAAAATATTAATTTCTTGATCCCAAAATATTATAAAAATATTTATTTTCTATAATAATATTATTTTATACACCCCAAAATCGGGGCATTACAATATGGTCCTGTCCTGGTCCTCTTGTTCAGTAATATGTAGGCTACTTCAGAAGCGGAGACTCGTAGGGGTTGCGCCAGTACTTGCAAGCTTCTTCTTTTCGCTGCTATTGTGGTTCTTGTGTGTGCTTGGGCTAATCTGTAGCGTTACAATAGCAATACTTGTACCTGTAATTTCGGTTGCTTAGGAACACTTTCCCTCGGTTATGTATTCGAGGGGGCTACTCGACGGTGTTGTAAGGATGCGGCACGAACCTACCTTAACTCTATTTTATGTTTTCCATCGACTTCGTATCGTAGTTTTCTATTCAACGGATCCCTACATGTTTAGCATTGCCCCGGAAATAGGTTGCAAGCGTCGCCACGGCTGTGCGTACAATCTTGGATCCCTACGTGTAGGCAGGGTAGCAACTTACAGCCTTGCGCGGCACGGCCATGTCGATCATCATGGCGGGCTACAAATAAACCCGTTCTCACAATGGCCGTGGCGACAGACACGTGAATGGTTGCGTGTTTGCAGCAATTAATTAAGTCCCCTTCTGCACGGGGGTGACGACTCTGACTTGTTGTCATCTGGCCTTCCTACAGAGAATCTTGGGCCAAACAGCACAGGTGTGGCAACCCCCTTGCATTTTGCTCGTACTCTGAACACATGAATTTACATGGCGGTCTCTATGGTCATGTAGACACAGTCCTTACTTGTTGGTTTAGGACTGCTCCGACCACCATGTCTCCCACATGGACGTGTGGGCTAAGTGATTGCATGTGATTCGGCTACATGACTCATGTCACCTCCCCGAGCTTATTCTTTGCAGTTAGATTTGCAGGTGCGGGCCTATGTTTTTGATGCCTTACATGACTATTTTTGTTTCAACTATGTAGATTCATTGTTGAATGTTGCGGATGGCACTTACAAAGAAAATGAGTTGTATTGCATCTAAAGGGAAAGGCCGTTGAGGGGATGTGTGAGCAGATTTGGCTGACGAATGATCGCGACTCACTCCTGGGGACGGCGTTTAGTCTGTGCATGCGTTCATTGGGCGGTTGCAAGCCACGTATCGTCCTGTTTCTTTTGTAAGTCCATCATCAAGTCCCGAGTTACATACGGGTCTTCTTTTTTTTCACGGGTTTTTATCATCTCGCATTTTCCTCAACCAGGATTTCTTCGTTGCGAAATAATATTGCATTGTTTTCCTATTCAAGGTTAGTCCCGTGCAGTCTCCCGTGCTTTTTATTTTAGAGATACTTGAAACGACGACGGCCTTCGCCGGGCCACATCGTTGAGATGTTCAACTGACTCGCATGTTCGTACGACGAGTATGTGTGAGCTTTTTTGTTTTGTTTTGTTTTTTTTTTTTTTTTTCATGCAACCGATGCCCTTTCATCGGCCGGCCACAATTGATTTCCCTCAAACCCAACCGCATAAAAACACCCTTAAAAAAAAGGTGTATAATACTTTTAGGCTATATTCTTTGATCAAACTTTATACCATTTGTATTAGAGTAAATTATATAACATTTCCTCGTGTTTAAATCAAAATGCACAAAACACCATATATTTTATTTATTCCGCAAAACTCCCTTGTGTTAATGTAAAATTTGTACAAAACACCCTCATTGTCCAAAACTGATATTTGGTTCTAAATAAATACCTAAATTACGCAAGTTTTATAGAGAGAAAAACGCAAAATATCTTAAATAATTTTTTGAATAAAATAAATAAATAAATAATTATTTAGTCCTTCATTTTATAGTTTTTTGAAGACAAATTGTTATCTCATTTTTATAAAAACTATAAAATAAATTATTGATCAATTATTTATTTATCTATTTTTTTTCAAAAAAAATATTTAAAATATTTTACATTTTTTATTTGTATAAAACATGCGTAATTTAGGTATTTATTTAGAACCAAATATCAATTCTGGATAAAAATGATGTTTTATGCAAACTTTACATTAACACAAAGGGTTTAGGGTGTTTTGTGCATTTTTACTAAAAATACAAGAGAATATTATATAATTTACCCTCTGTATTATTCACTCAAAATTTATTTTCCAAAAATTAAATTAAACACTTTTGTTTCTTTAATAAAATTTTTTAGGTTGTGTTTGTTTGGGGGATTGAATTTCCAATTCACTATTCATTCCATTTTCCCCAAAAAAATATCAAATCAAATATCTATTTTTTATTTTTTATATTATACTAAAAATTAATTTTACATTCAAAACATCACATCACACCTATTTATATCACATCATACAACTATTCAAATTCAAAATTTTTACTATTCAAATATCAACTCAAATCCAAACCCTCAGACAAACACAAATGCATTCTTCCAAAAAAATTAATATACTATATTTTTATTACTTATATATTATATACAGAATTTTCTATGTATCATATAAATAAAAATTTCTCCAAACACAGTTTTCATTTCATTTTATATATTATAATAAAAATTAATTTTACATTATAAATATTATACTATTAATTTATATTTATATATTATTAAAATGAAAAAAAAACTGACTGTTAAAATCCCAAACCACGGGATAAAAACCCAATGAAATTCCAGGTTTACCATTATAAATTGCCTACACCCCACCTCTTGGTTAGGCATTAGTACCCTTGCGCACCTTTCTTCCATTATTCTCCGTGGTGCTGCTGATGCTGGTTGCAGGTGCCATTGATCCGAGCGATATCTTGTCTCTTCCTGGTATATCTGGTGCCCTATCTATCTATCGTCTACCGTTGGATTCTCACTTGATGTTCTTCCTTCATCTGATTGTTGATAAGATGAGAAGATTGAATGGCATGCCAAGTGTTCGACAAAATGTGCACATGAAACGGAATTGATATCACGCCCATTTTGATTATTATTTTCTTCGCTGTGTTATGTTCACTTTGCTTAAGTCGAGTTTTCTGTTCTCTAACAAAGGCTGCTTCTTATATATATATATATGTTTGTGTGTGTGTGTGTGTGTCTGATTCATAGGGTCCGGAATTCAATTCTGCGTTTTCGTCAATAACTGGAAATGGAGTCACGGTGAATATCAAGATTAATTGATATTGAGAAGAAAGGGTTCTAGGCTTGTCCAGGTTGAGGTGGGGTTTTAGGATCTAAAGATTGAATTGGAAACCTAGAAATAGGATTCGGTGTAGAAAACATAGCGTAGAATCTGAATTTAATCGCATATAAACTAAATATTTATCATGATGTTTAGATTTGATTTGTGGAACTAAACCCTAATTGAGATAGCTTCCTTTGGAATTTGAAATCACTCAAACCGGTTTAAGTTTTGGTTAATTCTTGCCCTTTTTGCAATCATTCAATCCATCTTTTGCATCAATTGTCTGTATGTTTTCTTCTTAAAGTCCCATGGACTACATTGGCCTAGATTTCAAGCCCCATTGGTACTTAGTACTTACATAGCTAGTTACAAAACTGGGAATGCCCAAAAAAACTTAACCAGGGCTGGAATTGCTTGCCATATTAATTAAGCAGATGATTTGAAATTATTTGAATTTTGCATAATATGAACTTAGTTGTTAGAGGAACTATTTAGGCAGATGTTGTGACTCAAGGTAAAATACGAAATAGGATATAAATTCATAGGTTGGGAACAGGAGGGTGTGCCGATTAAAATCAGAATATTTGGTGCTTTTGCCTTTCCTTCTACTGGCCATTGACATTTCAGAATGAGCTTGATGTTCTTTGATATATTTTCAATTTTATGGTACTAATTGATGAGTAGTAATTAACATTTTGTTCCTGTCAGGTGTGTGATTGTCATCACTAGGATGACAACTGGTTCTGCAGACGAGAAAGTTCTTAGCTACAATGATGTAGTTCTCAGGCGATCGGATCTTGACATTCTTAGTGGTCCATTTTTTCTGAATGATCGCATCATCGAATTCTATTTCAGTTATCTCACATCCTGTCATCCTTCAGAAGACATCCTCCTTGTGCCTCCTTCAATCACATTCTGGATAAAAGAGTGCCCTGATACCGAAAGCCTAAAAGAGTTTGTCGAACCCCTTCATCTATCTCAAAGGAAATTAATAATCTTCCCCATCAATGACAATGCTGATGTGACTATGGCTGAAGGTGGGAGTCACTGGAGTTTACTTGCGTACGAAAAAAATGCTAATTTGTTTGTTCATCACGACAGCAGTCAAGGAGGAGGCGTCAATGGCTCACACGCCAAAAGGGTGTATAGATCTGTCACTTGTTTTGTAGCATCTGATGCTACCTATGTTGAATGCTTTGATTCGCCAAAGCAAGTAAACGGCTATGATTGTGGGCTATATGTTACTGCCATTGCAAGAGCAATTTGTGAGTGGTTCGCGTGCGGAAGACCAAAGGATGAACAGAAGTTGTGGTTCACTTCCATTAAGGAGCAGGTAACTCCATCCCTTGTGTCTAAGATGCGCAGCGACATCTTGGAATTAATACGTAGTTTAATGGCCACGCCATGAATTAATTGTGCTTATGCGCAGAGAGTTCTTTCATGGCATGGCAGCTAAACTTGTATGTATATTTGACATCTCATTTATCAGAACTGAATTATGCATTTCATAAGATTAGACCTACATTTTATTTTGTGAACTTTGGTCTGCTAGCTACACACAGTCTAAAACTAAATGTTACCAAGTATGAAATAGGATTATAGTAAAAGGGGTTTGAGCATAATTTTAAATTTCTAATTTAGACTTGTCTAAGTTAAAATACTATATAAAATTTAAAGTTATACAATTCCAATTTAGAAGCTTAAAATTATGGTGCTTGCATATTCATATAGAGTCAAAACCACAGTTCTCTTGCCGTATTCATCTAGATTTTCCTTGACTTACTAATTCTTAATCATTGCTTTCGATTATATTTTGAAGGCCATCACTCGAATTTGTGCTATTTCGTTTATATTGATTTTGATGTTCAACATTCACTCAATCATCATGCAAACGTTGATTTTGTAAGTGTTCTTGCTTAATGTGTATAGTTGACACTAGATAGACATGTATTTCTTTTGTAGTGAATGACGTTATATGATGAATAGGTACTCTTCTAGACCACTATATAAGATATCAAACCTATGTAATTCACAATCGTCATACTCAAAAGTAATCGTTAGATAAGTTTCAAGTTCTAAATATGGATTTGAATTTTCCCAAATGTTTTTGTAATTTTGTATCATCATAATTGTAAAAGTGTGAAATGATACCATCATACCAACACTATGATTATCACTAGAATTAGCATATTGACTCACACTAGTTCTATATAAGTTGTATTATTACCATGTTGACTCCTAGGGTTTGTTTGGTTCAAATGAGGGGAGGGGTAGGGAGATGAGCCATTTTAACGGAAGGGAAGAGAAGAGAAGAGACAAAATGTTAAACTTACAACAGTGTGTTTAGTTCATAATTTCATAGGTAAGGGAGTGAAGGGGAAGGACAGAAAAATAAAATAATTTTATTATCTTTCCCTTACAATATATAAATAAAGAAAAACAAATGTTGAATAACTTATTAATAAAATAAATTACATAATTAACTGTTGAAGGAACCAAACATTGTATACATAATGGCCAACTTGCGAGCTTCATGTTGACATTCAATAATCACTCGAAGTTTGTTTGGATTGTTCATAAAAAAACAATATAGTTCAGTCCAATATGCTCTGTCAACACCACATTTTTTAATAAAAAATCCTAGGTTTTCTTTAATATATTTTTTGAAAGTACACATAATTTGTTGTTCACTTTCTTTTTCATTGTTGCATTACCATGTTCTATTGCTCCTATGACTTCTTTCAATCCGCCTCCAACTTCCTCGATTTTATTAACCTTTTTTTTTTTAGCTTCATTTGTTTCTTATTTTATTTTCACTAGTTCCTCCGTGAGAGGAATTTTGTGTATTGCTTTTATGAGCTGATAAATTATTTATATCATCATTATAAAAGTCATTGAAAGTATTACTGTGATCTAAAGTCAATTGTCCCCACATTCAATATTTGACTAGTTTCAATACTTTTCTAGTTGTTCAATCATTACCATAAAGTATCACTATATTTTTTTTATATTTTGGAGAAGGAACTTTTTCTTTTCTTTTCATAATTTAGAAAATGAAAATTTATTCAAATACTCAAATACGCATGTTTAGGTTTTGACTGCGTCACGTCAACCCCTAACTAGTAAAAAGGATTTTGTCCGTATTGAAGACGTGGACAATCTTATATCTCGAAATGAGATGATTTTCATAATAATGATAATTTGAATGACTTATTTTAATGAGATATGAATAATTTATCAACTCGTGATAACAACACACAAGATTCCTTCCATAGATAAGTTAATAATAAAGGTTAATGAAATTGATAAAATCAAAAAAATTTTGGAAAAAGTGACAAAAACAATAGAACATGGTAATGCGAACAAAGAATTATGTGCTCTTTCTAGAAAATAAACATGTAATTTGATTAAGAAATATGGATTTGAAGCAACATAGTGGGTTCAAATATATTGTTTTCTTCTAAACAATTCAGACCAATTTTGACTGGTTATTGAATGTCTACTAGAAGTTTGCAGGTTTGTCATTATGTATATAGTGTTTGGTTATTCTAATACTTAATTATGTAGTTTTTACTTCATTACTTTTATTTATATAGTTTGATGGACATATAAATATGGTCAATATTACCGGAAGGATTTCTCTTTTGATAATAGGTATTGTAACTAGTATTATTGTGAATAGTTTAATAGATATTTTCTTTTATGGTTCATATTCCGAATTAAGTTTATTTCTGTAGTAATAGGATGGATTAAGTTGTAGATATGAAAGCGTAGGAACTCAATAGGATTCACTTCTTTGTCTGATTCAACGGAAAAAGGCCCGTGTTTATGTTCGATGCGTGGTTGAAAGTTGTAATTAGAAAATCAATACTTTGAAGTTAAACGATCATTCGACATTTCAAATCAGAACCTATAAGTCAAAGCATGATTGTATGTGTGATCTGAATGTCAAGAATGTGAAGTTTTTATGGTTTGCAAAAAATACGAATCGTTGTTTCAATCACACCCTTCGAAAGGATTTAGAGTAAATGTCTATGAAGATATCATATGCAATGTATTATATTAACAAGGCATATATGACAAAGAATAAAACACTTAAAGCAATTTATAGTGATGCAAATGAGCAATATAAGAAGTTATGGGATTATTCTCAAGCATTGCGGCAATTGAATCCGGGATCACGTGTCTTGATAGAGTTGGAAGGTGAGTTTATGAATGGATGACGAAGATTTAGCAAATATTATATATGTTTGAAGTTGTTCGTTCTTGGATTTCAGTATGGTTGTCGACCTGTGATTGGGGTTGATGGATGTCATCTGAAGGGTCCATTTCAAGGTATACTGCTAACTGCGATTGTAATTGATCATAATAATGAATTATTTCCCTTGGCCTATGATATTGTTGGGAGTGAGACACGTGAGACATGTAATGATTTTTTATGCTGCTGAAAGATGATTAAATATAGAGCGTGACGAGTCATATACCTTCATAGTGTTGGTTCAAATGACTTGCATAGAAACGACTTATTTGGATGACAACAAATGCAACCATTGTTCCTGCGTTTGAGGATGTTATAAAAGGGAGTCAAGAGTTGGATGGAAGATGTATGGATTAGTTTGCCAACAAACTGCCTTTGCAATGGTCGAGGTCATATTTTGCCATTTTTTCAAAGTGTGATATGATTTTGAACAATTTGTGTGATTCTTTCAACAATATTATATTAGATGCAAGAGAAATGCCAAGTATTGCCTATGTTAGAGTGGATTATGAGGCATTTGTTGTTTCGACTTGCAAAGCGAAGAGACATGACACTTCGAAAATATGAGAATATACATTATTGTTCTAAAATAGTGAAGATCATAGAAAAAATATTCGCAAAGCTTCATCTTGTGTACCAATTAAAACTGATGTTGGACCTATGAGGTCGATTGTTCTGATGGAAGCATGTTTATAGTTGACATTTTGAAGAAGTCGTGTGGTTGTAGAAAATAATACTTATGTGAGGTTCTTTGTCTTCATGGAATGACTGTCATATGTAGGTAACAACTAGACCGAATGCACTTTCTTGACGAAGTATATAGTTCGAACTTTTTAAAGGTCTCAACACTATATACTTCATCAACAAAGTCCGTTGGATCTAACTGATGTCCACAGATGACACTTATTCCATGGAAACAAGGAATTTCATATAAATTCCAGTTTCTACACCCTCATGACTTCTTCAAAATATCAACTATAAACCTTTTTCCCATCGGAACAATCGACCTCGTAGGTCCAATCATCAGCTTTAACTGGTACACAAGATAAAGTTTTACGAATAATTTTTTCCATGATCTTCACTATTTTAGGGCAATACTGCATATTCTCCCATTTTCGAAGTGTCATGTCCTTTCGTTTTGCAAATCGTGACAACAAGTACCTCATAATCCACTCCAACATAGACAATATTTGGCATTTCTCTTGCATATAAGATAATACTGTTGAAAGATTCACACAAATTTTTCAAAATCATATCACACTTTGAAAAAGTGGCAACATGTGACCTCGATCATTTGAAGGCGGTTTGTCCCAAGCTAATCCATTCAACTCTTAAATATTCTTCATAGCATCCTCGAACGCGGAAACAGTGGTTGCATTTGTTGTCATCCAAATAAGTCATTTGTTGCAAGTCTCTTGAACCCAACACTTTTTATATTACCATAAAGATGCCGCACACAATCTTTTTTTCGATCCGGGAAAAATCTTTACCATAGCAGACACAAGACCTTTTTATTTGTCTGATATGAAGGTATATGACTCGTCACCTCTATAATGAAATCATCTTTCAGCAGCATAAACAACCACTCACATGTCTCACTCCCAACAACAATATAGACCAAAAGGAAATAATTCATTATTAGGATCAATTGCAATCGTAGTTAGTAGTATATCTTGACATGGACCCTTCCGATGACATCCATAAACCTCATTCACAAGTCGACAACCGGACTGAAATCCAAGAACGAGCGACTTTAACATATATAATATTTCCTAAATCGTCGTCGTCTATTCATAGAGTTACCTTCCAACTCCATCAGGACATTTGATCATGGATTCGATTGCCGTAAAGCTTCAGCATAATCCTATAACTTCTCATATTGCTCCTTCGCATCACCATCAATTGCTTTAAGTGCTCTATTCTTTTCCTTATATGCTTGTTGATATGATATTTTGAATATGATATCTTCAGAGACATCCACTTTAAATTCTTTCACACGTCACAAAGAGTCTGATCGAAACAATGATTCGTATTTTTTGGCAAGCCATGAAGACTTGACATTCAAATCACACTTAAAGTCATGCTTTGACTGATAGGTTTTGATTTGAAATGTTGAATGATCGTTTACCTTCAAAGCACTGATTTTCTAATTACAACTTTCAACCGTGCATCGAACATAAATTCTTCTTTTATCATTTTTAACTAACTTTAATGTCCCCATAGTTCTGATAACATGATTTTGAATGGCCTCTT